ATTTGGATGTTTTGATAATATTCCGTCGCATCTGCGCTTTTTTTGTCGAGATAGTCGAGAACGTCGAGAAGTGCTAAATAAGGGTGCGTTCGGAGAGCGCGGAATATTCCCCGTCATCGTGAAAATTCCCCGTGTTGCGTACGTCTATCAATTCAGCAGCAACGAATATCAGCCTCACAGCAGCATATTTCGGGGTCTTTCGATTTGGCTGAAAATCGGTATACAGGGCCTCCTCGATGCGCTGATTCCGAAGATGTGCCTCTTTGGGGTGGTATTTTGCACCGTTAACGAGTTAACGGCCATTTAACATTTTAACGGGAAACGGCGGGGTCTTTCGATTTGGCTAAAAATCGGTATACAGGGCCTGCTCGATGCGCTGATTCCGAAAATGTACCTCTTTGGGGTGGTATTTTGCACCGTTAACGAGTTAACGGCCAGTTAACCCTATTAGTGGCAGGGGGGGGGGTTGTTTTTATCCACCCCTCAGGTTTTTCGGGAATATCTCCGAAACCGCTGAAGCTACGATGCTGAAATTTTCTGACTTTTCCTAAAACTAAATTGGGCACATTCCCTGAAAATTTCAAGTTCATAACTTTACCAGGGGCGGCTCCAGAGCACTGGGAATTGGGGGGTCCTATTCGTGAAGCGAGTCATTTGGGCGAAGATCACGATGCTGCACCAGTTTTACGAACAGTGAATGAAAGGTATCATGTGATAACATATACAAAGTTATTGTGCATCCTCTTTTGACACGTTTTTGCTATAATAGGCGGATCCAGGCGTCCAAAAAGGGGGGTTATTTTTTCCTCCCAACATAGGTGCCCTGACACCGCCTATGCATGACTAATACAATTTTAGTCGTTCTCTCATAAGAAAATTGTAACATAACAAGACCATTGCCACCCTTTTTAGAAACAGTACCAACAAAAACCTTATTTACTATACTTTTTGTGTACCCCCAATCTCAATGATCTGTATCCGCCTATGATTTTTGAAAATGCATATTTTTAGGATCCATGTGAATTCCTGGTTCATTCTCTATCGATCGGCAAAAGTTGCGTTAAGATTGGTTCAGAAACCTGGCCGTGATAAACAGTCTAAAATGTATCTGCAATTTGCCCTTTTTTACCCCCCTCTACCCCCCTATTGACATTTTTTAATTTTATTTTTTTTTAGAAATGTAGATCTCGTTGAGCCAAATCGAATGCCGTTTGAATTTTGAAAATCGGCCCGTTAGATCTCAAGATATCAAGGGGGGGTCGTAAACAGCCCCCCCCTGCCACTAATATGGGGTAGCCAGGAGCCTGCCACTAATAGGGCATTTTAACGGGAAACAGCGGGGTCTTTCGATTTGGCTGAAAATCGGTATACAGGGCCTCCTCGATGCGCTGATTCCGAAAATGTACCTCTTTGGGGTGGTATTTTGCACCGTTAACGAGTTAACGGCCATTTAACATTTTAACGGGAAACGGCGGGGTCTTTCGATTTGGCTGAAAATCGGTATGCAGGGCCTCCTCGATGCGCTGATTCCGAAAATGTGCCTCTTTGGGGTGGTATTTTGCACCGTTAACGAGTTAACGGCCATTTAACATTTTAACGGGAAACGGCAGGGTCTTTCGATTTGGCTGAAAATCGGTATACAGGGCCTCCTCGATGCGCTGATTCCGAAAATGTGCGTCTTTGGGGTGGTATTTTGCACCGTTAACGAGTTAACGGCCATTTAACATTTTAACGGGAAACGGCGGGGTCTATCGATTTGGCTGAAAATCGGTATACAGGGCCTCCTCGATGCGCTGATTCCGAAAATGTACCTCTTTGGGGTGGTATTTTGCACCGGTAACGAGTTAACGGCCAGTTAACATTTTAACGGGAAACGGCGGGGTCTTTCGATTTGGCTGAAAATCGGTATACAGGGCCTCCTCGATGCGCTGATTCCGAAAATGTACCTCTTTGGGGTGGTATTTTGCACCGTTAACGAGTTAACGGCCAGTTAACATTTTAACGGGAAACAGCGGGGTCTTTCGATTTGGCTGAAAATCGGTATACAGGGCCTCCTCGATGCGCTGATTCCGAAAATGTACCTCTTTGGGGTGGTATTTTGCACCGTTAACGAGTTAACGGCCATTTAACATTTTAACGGGAAACGGCGGGGTCTTTCGATTTGGCTGAAAATCGGTGTACAGGGCCTTCTAGATGCGCTGATTCCTAAAATGTACCTCTTTGAGGTGGTATTTTGCACCGTTAACGAGTTAACGGCCAATAAACATTTTAACGGGAAACGGCGGGGTCTTTCGATTTGGCTGAAAATCAGTATACTGGGCCTCCTCGATGCGCTGATTACGAAAATGTACCTCTTTAGGGTGGTATTTTGCACCGTTAACGAGTTAACGACCAAATAACATTTGAACGGGAAACGGCGCGGTCTTTCGATTTCGCTGAAAATCGGTATACAGGGCCTCCTCGATGCGCTGATTTCGAAAATGTACCTCTTTGGGGTGGTATTTTGAACCGTTAACGAGTTAACGAACCGTTAACATTTCAGCAGCATATATCGATTTCAGCAGCAAATTTTCGGGGTCTTTCGATTTGGCTGAAAATCGGTATACAGTGCCTCCTCGATGCGCTGATTCGGAAAATGCACCTTTTTAGGGTGGTATTTTGCACCGTTAACGAGTTAACGGCCATTTAACATTTTAACGGGAAACGGCGGGGTCTATCGATTTGGCTGAAAATCGGTATACAGGGCCTCCTCGATGCGCTTATTTCGAAAATGTACCTGTATGTAAACGGCGGGGTCTATGTTAATTGGTCGTTAACTCGTTAACGGTGCAAAATACCACCCCAAAGAGGTACATTTTCGGAATCAGCGCATCGAGAAGGCCCTGGACACCGATTTTCAGCCAAATCGAAAGACCTCGCTTTTTCCCGTTAAAATGTTAACTGGCCGTTAACTCGTTAACGGTGCAAAATACCAACCCAAAGAGGTACATTTTCGGAATCAACGCAACGAGGAGGCCCTGTATACCGATTTTCAGCCAAATCGAAAGACCCCGCTGTTTCTCGTTAAAATGTTAATTGGTCGTTAACTCGTTAACGGTGCAAAATACCACCCCAAAGAGGTACATTTTCGGAATCAGCGCATCAAGGAGGCCCTGTATACCGATTTATAGCCAAATCGAAAGACCCCGCCGTTTCCGTTAAAATGTTAATTGGTCGTTAACTCGTTAACGGTGCAAAATACCACCCCAAAGATGTACATTTTCGGAATCAGCGCATCGAGGAGGCCCTGTATACCGATTTTCAGCCTAATCGAAAGACCCCGCCGTTTCCCGTTAAAATGTTAATTGGTCGTTAACTCGTTAACGGTGCAAAATACCACCCCAAAGAGGTACATTTTCGGAATCAGCGCATCGAGGAGACCCTGTACACCGATTTTAAGCCAAATCGAAAGACCCCGAGAATTTGCTGCTGAAATCGATATATGCTGCTGAAATGTTAACGGATCGTTAACTCGTAAACGATGCAAAATACCACCTCAAAGAGGCACATTTTCGAAATCAGCGCATCGAGAAGGCCCTGTATACTGATTTTCAGCCAAATCGAAAGACCCGCCGTTTCCCGTTAAAATGTTAATTGGTCGTTAACTCGTTAACGGTGCAAAATACCACCCCAAAGAGGTACATTTTCGGAATCAGCGCATCGAGAAGGCCCTGGACACTGATTTTCAGCCAAATCGAAAGACCCCGCTGTTTCCCGTTAAAATGTTAACTGGCCGTTAACTCGTTAACGGTGCAAAATACCACCCAAAAGAGGTACATTTTCGGAATCAGCGCATCGAGGAGGCCCTGTATACCGATTTTCAGCCAAATCGAAAGAACCCGCTGTTTCCCGTTAAAATGTTAATTGGTCGTTAACTCGTTAACGGTGCAAAATACCCCCTCAAAGAGGAACATTTTCGGAATCAGCGCATCAAGGAGGCCCTGTATACCGATTTTTAGCCAAATCGAAAGACCCCGCCGTTTCCCGTTAAAATGTTAATTGGTCGTTAACTCGTTAACGGTGCAAAATACCACCCCAAAGAGGTACATTTTCGGAATCAGCGCATCGAGGAGGCCCTGTATACCGATTTTCAGCCAAATCGAAAGACCCCGCCGTTTCCCGTTAAAATGTTAATTGGTCGTTAACTCGTTAACGGTGCAAAATACCACCCCAAAGAGGCACATTTTCGGAATCAGCGCATCAAGGAGACCCTGTACACCGATTTTAAGCCAAATCGAAAGACCCCGAAAATTTGCTGCTGAAATCGATATATGCTGCTGAAATGTTAACGGATCGTTAACTCGTTAACGATGCAAAATACCACCTCAAAGAGGCACATTTTCGAAATCAGCGCATCGAGAAGGCCCTGTATACTGATTTTCAGCCAAATCGAAAGACCCCGCCGTTTCCCGTTAAAATGTTAATTGGTCGTTAACTCGTTAACGGTGCAAAATACCACCCCAAAGAGGTACATTTTCGGAATCAGCGCATCGAGGAGGCCCTGTATACCAATTTTCAGCCAAATCGGAAGACCCCGCTGTTTCCCGTTAAAATGTTAATTGGTCGTTAACTCGTTAACGGTGCAAAATACCACCCCAAAGAGGTACATTTTCGGAATCAGCGCATCGAGGAGGTCCTGTATACCGATTTTCAGCCAAATCGAAAGACCCCGAAATATGCTGCTGTGAGGCTGATATTCGTTGCTGCTGAATTGATAGACGTGTGTTACGTTCGGAGAGGGACATTCCATGCCGCCAATTTCAAGGATCGCCGCTACTGCGCCAAGTTGAGTTCGTGGGATTTTGTTTGGGTTATTTCCGTTATTTGGTTATTTGGAACGCCACATCTATGGCAAGATGTAATAAGAATGAAGCTCTTGAAGAAAGAACAACTAAGAAAAATCACAATTATTTTCAAAAAGTTCCATCTGTACTGTGCCCCCCCCCCACCCCCACCCCAAACACACACAACACAACACTTCAAATTATCGTTTTCATTGCTTCAGAGGACAATCACACAACTGAGTAAGCATTATCAATTGTTGGATTTGCAATAAAACTGATCAGGGTGGAAACAAACGCAAGAAATATCCATTTATATTCAATAATATACTCACTCGAGCATACCGATGGGCGCCGCCATCTTCACGGGAACGACGCGTGAGATGCTTTTTAGATTCCGCGCTTTCCGCGTCCGTTCCGCGGAACTTTCCCCGGGATACTCTCCGAACGGCACATTCGGCGGAAATTTCATGCCGGCGTGGAATATTCCCCGGGAATCTGCCTCCCCGAACGCACCCTAAATGGGAATAAACGTCAGTGGATATTCTATCACTGTATATAAAAAATAATTAGGTCCTGTTGCTGTTAAAATTACCCATAGAATTAAAACTAATGGGATAAAGGCTGTGGGATCGTTTTTGACGGATAGACGTGTTGAAGCCTAGTCACAACTCGCAGTCAAGGTCAAGGTAAGACTGCCCACTGCACTAGCCACAATCAATCCTGATTCTGGGGTGGGGACCGCCATACCATCATCTGTTTCACCCTGGGCTGCAAGCTGAAAGCGAGGCCAGCTCATCCAACTAAAAGTTTATATACTGTTTTGTCAAAAAGAATCTTGAGACTTGAGTGAGGCAACACAGAGTTACCGAAGCACACCAGCTAGGGTGACAAATCTGGACCAGACCACAATGAGGCTGGAAATCCAGACCAGTGTGTATTAAGCAAGACCTATAATATGACCACAGCTTAGAAAGCTTGAAACTTGAAACTTCTTCATCTTGAAAACTGCAATTAAAGATATGCCAAAAAGATGAAAATAATATTAAATATATCCCTCATACCTGCCAAATCCCATTGAATCTCCCATCATACATAACTTTATGTTTTGATGCACTGGCACAGCAGTTCAACAGTCAACTTCAACACAGTGCTTTTATCACCCTTAGGCCCACACTGGCCAGAGGCGGATCCAGCTCAGAGTTTTTGGGAGGGGGCAAACCATAGAAATTTATCGATTCTTTCCATGCATCGTCCATAGGCGTAATGTTAAAATTATGCCGTTTGGGGGGGCAAATGCCCATTTTGCCCCCCTGGATCCGCCACTGACACCGGCCGGCGGCCACTGCTCCATACAGTCTGCACTGTATGGAGTGGTGTGGGCCTAAGCCACTGTGATTGTGATCAATATTGTAATAGCCACTGTGATGTTGTATTTTGTAAATATGCATCAGTCTGCTTATCAGCTGTTTATTGGTAATAATTGGTTTGTTGCTATGTTTCACAGCCTTGAACAGGAGCAAAACTGTTCTAACATCTCATTATTTCATCCTACAATTGTAGATGCCAAAAAATGATATAAATACTTCTAATATTTGCCTCTATCGCTCCCTTTCTCTTCCCTGCAGGTTACGCCATGGACCAGGATGACGATCTGCCAGCAGAGGCGGCGGCGGTGGTGGTCCCGGGACCGTCCGCCGGTCCCGGGAGTGTCGGCCTCCCGTCTCCCGCGGCCGCGCCGGCGGCCCCCCACCGACCGGTGATGGGGATCCCGCCGGACCTGGACCACGGCGGCGACCACGAGCGGTGCACCATGTTCGAGCCGGCGCTGTACATCCAGCGCTACACCACCGTCTGCCGGCTGCTGGCCGACGTGCAGCGCTTCGGCGTCGTCAGGAAGGTGAGTGGGAGGTCCGTGTTGTCAGCAGGGCAGCTGACAGAGGGATGTTGTTACGGGTGCTGCCTGGGTCGATCATGCTAGCAACCGAATTTGTAGACATGGCAATGATCTTGAAATTAATATACTCGAATTCCATGCATGGATGCCTTTTGCCTAATTTGGTCATAGATATCTTCGTTGAGGGTATCGGAACGTAGCGTGACGTAATAGGACTTGCGATGACGTGACGCGGTCCGACACGCCCCGTTGACATCTGACGTAAATACTGATATCAGGGTGCCCTTTTCAGGTGCTGGATATGGGCTGTTCCGAGATGTCATTTCTCCAGTTCCTGAAAAGTATTCCAACACTGAGTGACATATGTCTGCTGGATATTTCAGAGGTGAGTTCACGGACCTGCCATCGTCATTCTTGACAATGGCTAAGATAATAGCACATCATCTTCATGCTTTCATTCATTGCTTTCATCTTCAGCATTGCCTGTCGATACTAGCCCGACCCCGCAGTCTCCCCGTAACCCGCTAACCCCTCTCCTCAGGAGACGCTGCGCCGCCACCTGCACCGTGCCAGCCCGGGCGCCAGGGACCGTCTCGAGCGGCGGCTGCAGCCGCTGCGCGTGCGCGTCTTCTGCGGAGACGTGACGCGGCCCGATACCCGCCTCCTGGGCTGTGACGCCGTCACCGGCATCGAAGTGTGAGTGGCTTTTTGTGTCTGGTATTGTTCGAATTACTTATAAAATTCAGTGCGGAATACCAAAGAAAAGGAAAAAATGCATACAAACTGCAGCTAGCGCAGTGTACGCATTTTCAGTGATTTTGGCTACGTCTTACCAACACTGACCATGACCCCAGGCCAGGTCACGAGTCCATGTCAAAACCACGCCCGGACAGGGACTCGAACCCTGGACCGTTAGGTTAAGAGCCTAACGCTCTACCAACTGAGCTACCCGGGCTTCGATCTTAGCGGGTTCAAAAATTTTCGGCGTGGGACAGACTACAGAGGCCCAGTGCGCCCCTTTCTTCTTTTTGCCTACTGCCGAAAAATGTTTGTCAAGTCCCATCATCCCATGGTGTCACGACATCAGCACTTACTACAGCTCACCAAAGACTGAATCTTGGGGTCTGTTTAGTACGTCACCGGCCCCGCACCGGACACCGGTCACCCGAATCTTATCTCTCTTGTCGATTCAGACTGGGGAAGCATTTTAGCAGCTATAGGCAGCACACAGCAGACTGCAGCTGTTTTTTTTTTCGAAAATAACCCTCAGGTTGACCTTTGACAGCTGTCCTGCCTGCTGACATGTTTCGGTATCTATGACCGTGCATGTTTCGTATGTTTCGTTTCTGTCAGGATTGAGCACCTGGAGTCGCCGGTGCTGCGCGCGCTGCCTGCCGCCCTGTTCGGGTTCCTGCGGCCCCGTCTGGTGGTCCTAACCACCCCTAACGCCGAGTTCAACGAGCTCTTCCCCGGGTTCACCGGCATGCGCCACTGGGACCACAAGTTCGAGTGGACCCGGGCCGAGTTCCAGCTGTGGTGAGTCCAAGGGGGTCCGGCACCAGCATCATTATGAAATGCTGTAAGATGCCTGCGTTGAAAAATATACGCAGTCGGTTGCCAGAGTGAATTAGGCTATCGAACGTTTTATCGATGACTGATGACCGCCATGTCATTTTTCAATGCGACCGGAAGGTTGGACGCTTATATTTCAGGCTCGCATCACCTAATCCCTCCCATGCCAGCGGCACGCTGTATGCCCTCTCACCTCTCATTATCCCCGCAGGTGCGCCGGCGTGGTATCCCAGTACCCCGAGTACGAGGTGTCGTTTGACGGCATCGGCCCGCCGCCGGCCGGCTCCGAGCGCCTGGGCTGCTGCTCCCAGATGGCTGTCTTCCACCGCCGGGACGAACCCGCCGCCCCCGCCGCCGCCGCCGGGACCGGCGAGCAGCAGCCGCACCAGCTGCTCTCCGACCATCAGTTCCCCTTCGAGAGCCGCGAGGACCGCCTGTACAACGACGTGCTGTACCACGCGCGCCAGATCGGGTACGGTCGGGTGGAGGCGGCGGCGGGGCCGCGCCGCGAGGAGCTGGTGCCACTGGCCATGATCGCCGACATGCCGTCGGTGTCGGCGGCCGGCGCCTCGCTGGACGAGCTGGTGGGTCTGCTGAGCGCGCGCGGTGAGCCGGTGGTGGTGCACGGCGGCCGGCCGCACGTGGTGTACCGGCCGCCGGCAGACGGCAGTGACAGTGAGGACGAGCTGGCCGGCGGCGACCTGCGGCCGGCTGAGCCCGCCGTGGGCCGCCAGCCGGCCGCCGGAGCCGACAGCGCCGCCGGCGACGCCAGCTACCACGACGACTGGGACAACGAGCCCAACTGGGAGCAGGAGATCATGGACAGGTGAGAATTGGGGACTGGGAGTGGTGGGACGAGTGGGACGGGGCCGATGGGAGGGCTGGGAGAGCAGTGAGGGGGGTGTGGGTGCTGGGATTGATTTATCGATTGGTTGGGAGGGGGAACGAGTGGGGTGGGTGGCTGTTGCATGTCGTGACAGACGTGCATTGCCTGAAGTAGTGGTGCAGCTTGGTTTGGAGCCCGGATAGCTCAGTTGGTAGAGCGTTAGGCTTTTAACCTAACGGTCCAGGGTTCGAGTCCCTGTTCGGGCGAGGTTTTAAGGCGCTTTGCCACATTCCGGGATTCCTGTCGGTCGAAGGTCATGCGCCGCACCAACCGGCGCTGTCCTGGGGCCGTTCTCGTGTGCACCGGGTTTTGCTAACGCCCCGCCGCGTGTGACTGCAAGAAGTGGATGCATTCAGGATGCTGGAAACGACCATTCAGTTCGTCTAGACGGTCGGGTTTCGTTTGCCACTCATTTGTGGACCTTAGTCCCTGCTTTTTTTGACGTGGCTTGGTCAGTGTCTGTCTTAGTACATGAGTCTGTCCGGTTAAGCATCTGATTTATCTCGGCGGCGAAGCAAATATTCAGCATACTCCATATCGCACCTCAGCCATCACTCCATATCGCACCTAACCTACCCATATTTAACCCTGCATCCTCTCAAACGCCGAGTCTTTCCACTGCGCCACTCTGTCAGCCCGGTCACCGATAGTGTGTCTTACAGCCGCTCGTGGGACTCTCAGTGACTGTGTTAGGTTGTGTTAGGTGGAGCTCTCACTGAATTTGCCTTACACCCGCCCGGGGAGCGTGTCTTACAGCCGCTCGTGGGACTCTCACGCAGGCTGCGACTGGGACGGCCGCCCCGACCCCGTCCAGGGGTGGTCTGAGCCCTCCGAGACGGACGCCGTCGACCATCCGCCGGCCGCCGGCGCTCCTCAGACACCAGGTAGGCGGCAACTCCGCTGGGTGGGTGATCGGGATTATGCGTGCTTGTGTGTAGCTGCAACTATGAGCATTTTGGAAGGCCCTTTTGGTGTGTGAATATGCTAGTGCAACCGACTATTTTCCATAGATATTTGTTATTTTGCGAAGTTGTTAACAAATTTCATCTATCTCCCTTTGAGATGGGATTGTCGCGATGAGACAGGTCACCCGCCACCCAGTCGCCGTTAAGGACATGCCGAGGTGTCTTGATGAGGAATCACCCTAGATGAACAGTTTGGATGCGGGTGGGCTGGTCCTTGGATGCATAGGACGGATGGAATCGTTGCTTTTTAGTTCCTTGCTGATGGCTGTCAATCTTTTTTTTCTGTTTGTTCTGTACTGTCTTTCATCTCGTACTCGTGTTCCAGGTTCCGTCCGACGTCTCCACGCTGCCCTGCCGGCGTACCGTCTGATGTTGGACTTGCTCCGCGCCTGCTTCCCCGGCTGCTGGGGCGCCTCGCTGGCCGCCGCGCTGCTGCCATCTATTGTCGCCGAACTGAACTACAGGTGACGCGCCGCGCCGCCGCTGCCGTCTGCAGCTGAGTTCTGTGGACACCGACCCGGGGTAGGCCGGTGTGCCGATTGTATAGATATATGCCTTGCGTTTGGCTGTGACATGATTGGGAAATGTCAGGTATTGAAGAGGGCATCGAACAACGCAACGAGCTTACCTTTGCTGCACGGCAGGACTGGACTATCCTTGTTTTTGCTGCTGAGCTGCGCGAAATCACACGAAGATGAAGTATCACTTAAACGATTTGCCCCACTGCTGCACTGTTTTATGTAATGTGTAGTTCCGCTGAAACCGTCTCAGTGTCGGGTTTCACTGCACCCGAGTGTAGGCTGTGTGCTGTGTTTTTATTGTAACCGCTGTGAGGGCAAAGAGCATCATGATCATGTGATATCCATCGTAGGTGCACACACTTCATACCTATGTGAATGTTCATTGTGCTCCTAGTAAATTGTTGCACTGCCATTTTTGTTCTTGAATATTTATAAGCACATCTGTTCTTAAGCATTGCTGAGTCCAGGTTGAGACTTTCCTTATGATCAAGCTCACTGTTAGCGCCTTTGTTTTAACCGTCCGCGACCAAAATCGTTTCATTCCACTTGCGCGAGCCATCTTGATGAGCACTGAGCACTGCTGTTCGGGTATTGAGGTACGGGTGGGCCGCCAGCTTTCAGTGTGCCGCGCTGAATCGGGCCGCAATAAACAACTTTTATTTCTGAATTCTACTTCTTTTAAGGATTGCCTTCGAAAGGGGTTCAACAGAGTTGGTAAAACTATCTTCGTACCAGCAACAATCAAGCCCTGATGAAAGTCTTCCCTGACATCTTCCATGCTGCGCATGGGCGCTGATATTTCTGCGCTACCTTAGCATTTCGTTTAGTAGCACTCACTTATGGGAGATCTGTTGCGCCGGGTATGGCGCCACAACTTGCTCTCCTTCCGAAACAAACCTTATTGCATGCGTTGTATCGCTACTGTCGCTTACTCCGCTCCTGAGATTCTGGGATGGTTTTACGGTCCATTGCCTCAGTAGCTAATAGCCTTTATCGTCGCTTGTTTGTCCTCAAGTGACGCTATTCAGTTTTGAAACTGCTGCTCGGTATATCGGTCGTGATAATCCAATGATCCAACCGAGAGTTGAGCTGGAGTGGGACCTAAGAAGCATCATTTGTCGAGTGTGGGTGGTGCCTTTCCGCGTCTTGTCGGGCCAATGTGAATGCCGTTTTTTGTTGTTGTCGTTTTTCAACGTTACTGAAAAGGGCATAGTTCAGATTCGCACATCGTTTGCCGATTTTATGGCTCTCGCTATTCTCCTTACGCTTTATTATTATTGGTGATTACAGTGGATGCAGCTGCTTTTTCAGTTTCATCTTTCTAAACTCTGAACAAAGCTACCGAATGGGAGCATTCATAAGAACTGCTCTTTCAACGTGTTAATTGTGCTCCCTTTGTGTGCCAAAGGCGTGAATATCCCATCTCTCCGTGTCATCCTGCCTCGCAGCGCGGCGGTGGCGTCTGGCGCACTCAGTGTCGCCCCGCCAGACTGACTCGCTAATCGGACAGTGGCCAGGTGGTGCGTCAGTGGCCACGGCCCGGCGCGTGCCGGATTAACGGCGCCCGGCGGCTCTCGGCTGGCACCGTGCGATATTCTCTAAAGTTGGGGGATTTCACGCGCCGACGGGCTATCATAAATCTCTCGGCGGCTTCTATTAAAAGTGCCCAAATTAATCCAGTCCTCTGGACGGCTCGGCAGACATAAAAAATGGCCGTGCCGCGTGCGTTGTCCGCCGCTGCATCCTTTCCTTCCGGCCGTAGGCAGCGCCAATAGAATCTTTTCTCGCCGGAAGTAATCAGAATCCGCTTTGAGAGATTCGATTTATATTAGCGGATTACGGCACCGATCGAATGCGATTAGTTGCCGTCGAAATTAAATTGGGTTCCTGTATCACTCAATATCGCATTTCGCTGGATCCGAGCCGGCTGCTCTAAGTTCAGTTAACCCACGAGCCGCTGGGGGGGGGGGGGGCATAAAGTTGCCCCCCCTTTACGTTTTGTTAAATATCTCCAAAACCTGATGAGCTACGAAAGTGAAACTTGGCATAGCTTCAAATGAATACCTAGGCAATGTTTGAGGAAAGTTTGGTGGTTGTAGCACCTAAGATGACGTCACAGTGACGTCATAAAGTTTTGTCGTTTTCCGATATGGACCGTTTCTGATGACGTTGAGCATGAAACTCAACTGTAAATGAACTAGACAGCACCTGCTATCATCCTAATACATCTAACTACACTTCCATCTAGTTTCTGACCAATAATCGACCCTTTATATTCGGTCCCATATATCTGATGTATCGTGAGGAATATGAGAGTCGCAAATCTATAATGTCACTTATGACGTCACTGTGACGTCATTTCAAATGGGATCAACACCAAATTTGGGCACAACCTCGGCTAGGTATTCAGGAAGATGTGTGCAAAGTTTCGCTTCTCTATCTCTTCGCGTTGCGACGATATCGTCGCAGAAGTAAAGGGGGGGCAACTATATGCCCCCCCCCCCCAGCGGCCGGCGGGTGGCGCGGAGGCCCAGCGGCCGCCGGGTTAATAAGCGCCGCGGAGAGAGTGCGATTGGCGAGCATTCATTGCTGAACTGTGACATCTGTCCGGAGCATGTTACATGAGCCGTTACTGAGTGGCGGCCCGCCTGCGGCCGATGGGACCGGCCGAGGTCGGAATGCCTGCACTTCAACCACTTTGGAGAGTGCTGATCTGGATGCGGGCTGAAATGAAGACAGGCAAGCGATGGTGTGCTCGAGAAATCGAATGCATTGTGTGCTGATCGGCGAATTATATACGCATGCTCGCTGAGTCCTCACTGAGGAAAGCATTACATTTATTTTCTAGTGTTAAGTCGCTTAACGGGTTATTTTGGACTTAACACATTTACTGTCTCATCTTTGACCTCTGTTGGTAAAGAGCTGGTAAGAGCTGGTAACTGGTAAGCTGGTAACAAAGAGCTGGTAACAGTAGTCCCTGGCTGTCCGTGTAATACATACAGAACATATATTCTCCGTGTCCCGAGCTGCCGTTTCGGTGAGGACAGGACAGTCACACACCACAGCTCCATAAATAGTGGCCCGCTGACGGCGGCTCGGTGCCTGCAGCCGGCGGTCTATGTTCACACGCTCAGAGACCGGCCCAGGTGGGGCGGCGGCCGGCCCGGAGCGATCCCTCCAAAGCGGCCGGCATTCAGTCGCCGAGGTCAGCGGCCGATGGCGCAGAAAGGGGCACCGACAGCCCAACGACCACGGACGCCGGAGTCAATGGCATAGTGTCCGTTCAGCGCCCGGAATGGGGCGGCGCCGGCGCGCGGTTCGCGCTCTCGTGAGCGTCGAGCGGGCGGCGATCCGGTGTCCAGTCAATGGTCAGCCGTTTAGACGAGCAGGGTTAACACGAGGGCACGTGGGAGTGCAGCATGAAACCAACAATAACGAGAACATATCACTGCCATAGCTCTCTCGGCGAGTGTCTACTGCACGTCATAATGCCCCGTAAAGTACCCCCACAAAAGTCTCGGCGGCGGCCGGCCGCTCGCAGAGGGGCGTGTGATGGAGGATCGGTCCGAACGGCCGTGCCTGGTGACCTCAGATGGTGTGTAAGACCCCGGCGGCTACACGGCTCCACCCCTGGTCACGGAACCCCCGCCGGGGGCCCCTCACACCCTCCCCCGAACCCACACAATCGTAACTTACAAATTAACATCGGCGGGGGTAATTAAACACCCACCCGCCGGGCCGCCCAGGTAAACCAGAGCATTAGCTTTAATGAGACGGGACATAAATCGGGTTCGGTCCCGGTCGTAAGGACAGCCTTTATTGAGCTGCGGAGCTGCCGGGCATGATTGGGAATGGGAGAGCCGATATGACTAATTCAGTTACTCACACTTTCGGTCGTCAGACGAGGTGCATGCGGCGTCTGCAGTAGAGGCGATGATTCTTAGACAGAGTTATTGTGTTCCTGCAGCGTCGGGCTTCTCTGAATGGAAGCCGATAAAAATCCCAGGTACTTCGGCTAGTCCTGAAAGCTCGATCAAACACAACACATAAGGAATCCCACCATCAATTCTTCTACACATTGACTGTTAACCTTAATCCTCTATCATCATTCATTCAACTATAGTAAACGAATGGCTCGCCCTCACGGCCTGGAGCTAGCACGGCTCACGCCCAGATTCATATCCTCATCACGGCCTCTGCTCACCGAAACTCCATCTCTCCTTTCGTACGCGACCCCTCGCTTTGATCTACTTGATCTAGCGGCCGGGCGCCTCGACTCCCGCGCCCGGGCGGCCAATTTCGGGGCCCAAAGTGGATAAGATGGTTGACAATCGCGGGCGCTGATGCGCCGGGAGCGGCACAAAGCGGCGGATAATTGCCGCTATCAGCTGCGGGCGTCTGCATATGATCGCTCCCCCGCCGCCGGCGGCCGCACACAAAGGTAGGCGCCACTTATACTGTTGTGGCAAACGGCGCCGGGCGCGCTGCCGCTGCCGCGCTGCCGTCTGAAGTGGCGATCTGGCCACTCAGATCTGGGGACTCGGATCTGGCCACTCATCTGACCCCGGGAAGACGGAGAGACGGTGGGAGAAGTGGGGGAATAGTGGAGGAAGTAGAGAGAGGATTACGGGCATGAATTCGGGGTCTGTGGTTCAGAAGGCGATGTTAAAAGGAGAGACGGAGGACAGACAGATTGAAGGAGAGAAAAAATACTCTCCTTCAATGCCTGATGCTTGCCGAATGATGCTTGACCGTTCGGCAAGCATCAGGCCATCATGCTTACACGGACACACCATCCTTAGGCCATCATGCATCATATCCTGGCCAAGGCTGTTAAACGCCGTTTTAATGGGACGAGCTCGCATAATTTTACCTATGTTTATAACTGTGCATCACCGTTCTCATAATTACAAATTTCTCTGAACAAAACAAACGATCTCGTATGTGAATGATCAATAACCGCATGTAGTTAACGATGTTGACAAATGACGATATCCACTCCCACTACCCAGGGAAGTTTGCCAACTTCGTGCTTACCTTCTCCCTCTACCCATAAGAAGTGCTGGAGACGGCAGAAGCGCCGCGGTGACGGCAACCGCGGCAGCAGCGATCTCAGTGGCACCAATCGCCGAATGACATGTGCCCCGCGGCTCAATCCGTCACACCGGTGGCGAGTTCTGAGCGACGACTGAGAATAGACCGGCGTGTGACGGATGTCCGGCTGATCCGACAGCCGAGCCGCGCTGAAAATGGCCCCCTTCACAGGCCGGGCACATCTCATTAATCTCGCACAGAGCGAGACGGAGTTACGACGACTTTCATTTGCGTCCACCGTCTGCCGCGGCCCCGTCCATCGTCTGCCGCGGCCCCCGGGGACGGTCACGGTGGCCGTTCACTGAATCAGCGCGCCGCTATGTCGCACCATAGGGGTCATCCCGCGGTGGGTCTAATCACCGCCAGAGACCACAGAATCACCCGCCGAATGGCCCGTCTTCGGGCCACCTTGAGAGGCATGATATTGTCCGAGTCGTTACGTTGATATGCAGTCTTCAGTGGCGGAATATCGGCTTCGGGTAGGAATAAAGGGACTCGACTCCCCTTATAACGATATGCTATAGACGTCGCAGCATTTCTCTGTTCACATATCGACATCAAATCTCCTCTGATCGGACTGTCGATATGCCGTGACCGCACCGGCCGCGCTCTGACCGGATCGAGACACGTGACCTGACCTCGATCCCAGCCGCCCGGCCCGGCTACCTCTCCTGTTGTTGTTGTTGTAGTTCCCTCCGTCCCTTAGCGGGACGTAGCCGTCCGGCTCAGGAGCGACCTGTACGCGGTCACTATGGCCGCCATGATGTCGCTGTTCCGGACGTCCTCCTCTCTGGGGTGTATGGATCCCAGCAGTCTGAATCTTGTAGTGATTAGAGCCGGGCAGCGCAGCAGGACGTGCCTTGGGGTGTCTGCCTCCTCCCGGCATACTAAGCAGCGGGCCGCAGGGCAGCTGTGGTCCGAACACTGCTCGCACTGCCGGGAGGGCGCCAGCCCGACTCTGTGACGCCACTGGTTGGAGCTGGACCAGTGGCCTGCTCTCAGTTGGTGGATATCCACCGCGGTCGACCGGTCCTCACCCGATACTGGTGGTGGGAGTCGGCCGCCCATCAGGTCTCTGTACCACCCGGCCGGCCAGGCCTGGGCAGTACGGGCGCGCGCTGACCTGGCTGCGGCGCGGTGGATGGTGCGGACGTCCACCATGGTGTCCTCCTGGTCGAGGGCGCCGGCCTCTCCCGCGAGTCGATCGGCTTCCTCGTTGCCGCCGAGGCCGCAGTGGGATGGCACCCACTGGAGGTGGATTCTGCGGCCACCCGTCGTCAGCCGGCGTAGGGCGTCCCATATCTCGGAGCCGAGCGGGGAGCTCTGGGCCGCTGGCCCCTCTCGGAGCGCCGCTAGTGCGGACTGGGAGTCCGTGCATATGACGACGGGGTCTTCCGTATGCGCGGGGTGTTCCAGCAGGTGGTTGAGAGCCGCCCGCAGGGCGACCATCTCGGCCCGGTAGCTGGAGCAGATGCGGCCGGCCGGTGTGCGGATCTCCGCCGTCTCGTCGTCCGGCCACACGATGAGGGCGCCGGCGCCTCCGTTTGTGACCCCCTCCGTGGCGGAACCTTCTGTCCAGACCCACGTGGCACATTGTGGGAGACCCGCAAGGTGGTGTGACGCGGCGTCTCTTCGTTGTTCGTCGGTTGCTGACGGTGGTAGTGCAGCACCGACGTCGAGGCAGAAGCTGACTGGTGGGGGCGGCTCCCATGGCGCGGCTGGTCGGGGGAGTAGAGGCTCGATCGAGATCGGCGGTGTGATGCCCGCCTCCCTCCAGGCCTCCTCGCCGACTCCACGCCAGCCGGACACTGTGCTGAGGCGGGATCGAACCTCTCGGTCCGCGACGGTACGGAGCGGGTCGTCCTCCGGCAGGGCGCGCGCCTTGGCCAGCAGACGCGCCGCTAAGGCCGTGCGGCGCTCAGCCACCGGGGCGAGTCCCGCCTCCGCCATCAGGCCATGTGCCGGGGTGGACCGGGGGCATCCGGTCACCACTCTGGCGGCCGCGCGCATCTCCACCTCTAGGAGACCGAGGTGGGTTGGCGATGTTGCCGGGAGCCACGCTGCTGCGGCGTGTTCTAGGGCTCCTCGAACGTAGCCGGAGGCCACGACGCGAAGCTGCTGCTCTTGAAGGTCCCATTCCCGACCGGTCAGCTTCTTCAGATGGGCAGTCCTTGGGCGGACTCTCTGTCTCAGGCTGCGGCAGTGGGGGCCGAAGTGAAGTAGCCGGTCCAGGGTGACTCCCAGCAGCTTCAGCTGATCGCCCGCAGTTACGGTTTCCCCTGCCACCTTCACGGAGCAGTTAGCCGCATCACGGGGCCACTGGGACAGGACTAGAGCCTGTGTCTTCTGGCCGGCCACCGTCATCTTGTTGGCTTGGGCCCACTGCGCGAGGGTGTCCGCAGCCTGCTGCGCTCGTTGCCGGGCGACCTGCCCGGCAACGAGCGCAGCAGGCTGCGGACTTCCTCGCCTGCTGCGCTCGTTGCCTCTACCTCTCCCCGTGGGAGAGACTGTGACCGGCCTAAAAAGCCCTGAACACCTCACATACCCGGCGGACCGACCGTTCCCCGAGCGTGTCCGGCCGGTGGGAGCCGACCCTGAGGAATCCGCCGCGCCCGGCGCCGGCTAATGAGACCTCAGATACTGCCGACTCGTGACCGCAATGTCGGACCGGTGTGAGAAACACGACAGCCGCCGCCGGTCTCTGGCGATTGGAACGGCCTGCCAACTGCGCGATATTCGTCCGAGCTCGTCGAACAAGCTGTTCCGCCAGCAGCTGCAAAAGCAATGAGACAGCCAATAAGCGTTCGGTTGATGGCTGGTCCTCCGAGCCAGCCAGCTATAGTCGCGGGAAAGTGGTGGGATTGCGTATGCTGAATTCCAATGGTGAATGGCCGAAGCGTGAAGGCGGCAAATGAGGCGGGGATATTGAGGGGTCATCTGACCTGACCCCGGCCCCGCCCCCCGCTCTCGCGCGCCGCGCTGTGGTGACAGGGACCTTCGTAGAGGCGGATCTTGACTAATGATGGGCTCCATTCCCCCGTTTATCTTCAGCCCAGGTGAAAGAGCGCCTCAGGTGTCATCAGCTCGTGATATACCGGCGGATTTCACAGAGAGTCGGCTCAGCTACATCACTGCGCACCTTAGTGGCACAATAACCGTCACCTGACGCAGGTCCCGGGGTAAATGTTGACCGGCGTCAGCTCACAATCCCCCGAGAGACCGGTGTTTGCCGTGCCGGTGTGGCCTGTTGCACACTTTGTCGGCTGCAAGTACAAACGGCGCCGGCCGAGCCATGGTAAACACAGTGTACCGGCAGGTCTCAGCGGGCTACGGACGGACTCGGTGTGGGAAATCGCCAAACGGTAGACGGCTACTGAAGACCCGACCTGAGAAAACGGCTGCTGGGGGCAGACTTCTGAGGAGACGGTCACTCTAGTCAGGCTTTGTATTAGTGAGCGAATAGGAGAGCTGTCGTCTTCACGTTGTGAAGACGATCTCGGGAGATATGGTTAAGCCGATCGCTGTCAGAGCTATATCAGCAGTCAGAGAATGACTGCTGACCGATCGTCGAGCTACGGCATACTTACCGAGAGATGGAACGGATCGTCGTGTCGAGGCTTTGAAGAGCGTTGCGTCTGGCTCGTGATTGGAAGGGGTCAATGAATGGATGAACGATATGTAATCCTCCCCGGAGTCACGGATTGTGTGCACGGAATGCGGAGCTCGTGCGGTCACCAGCCGAGTGATGCCCGTCTGAGTGGGCTGGGCCGTGGGCCGCCCTTTGGGCCTGCGATGTGCATGTGATCTCATCACCGAGTGAGCGCAACCGACTCGCTCCGCTCTAATCCAGCACCCGTCAGCTATTCTGGTGCATTACAAATCACTTATAAAACATTGCTGTTGAATTTAATAACACTGCAATGCTAGCATCACTAACCTTGCAATGTCAGTGACAAAGCTAGGCGCAACATAGCCAAATGTGCATTGACTTCTTACGAGTAAAGTCAAACTTCAAAACGTCATATAGGTGTAACGGTGCTACTGGGCGGCATGGCGGTGCACATGTGCCGTGTGAGTGACGTGTGGCTGTTAAGCGGTGTAATCGTCCGCCTCGGAGGACGACACTGGGTTGGCAGGTGTATCGTCTCCTCTTTAACGCCTGTCTGATTCCCACTCGGCACTGGCTCCGTCGTCGTGCAGTACAAATTTATTTGAGAGGCTTGCAATTTCCTTACAACATATAGTCTTCACTGCTCAGGGAGGAATGGGCTCAATTTGGAGGGAATGGGATTGTCGCCGGCTGAATGGAATTGCTGGCTTTAAGTCCCGGGGCAAGGCCTTCCCGTGTTCCCATTTCGTATCCGTTCGATGCCAAGGGCTCTATCCCATCAGAGAAATAAATGCAATTCGAGCATGAGTGTCTAGCTCCCACTGGTCCTTAATATAACCATTCGTCACTCCCTTTCATCCGCGCACGCACCATTTATTCGATCATGCATACATCTACGAAGAACATTCGGCTAGACAAACCGACCCTCCCGTTTCCATCTAATCCCCCCAGTGGCGCTGAAAATTGCATGGTTATCTCCTGAGGTGAGTTTATACCCTGTTTGGTACTTATGCGCGTATAATGAGGTGTTAACCCCTTTAAGTCCCTGAATTCTAAGCAAATCGGCACTGGGTGTCCTTCTGATCCCATTTACGTTATTACTCTCTTCCGTTGAAGCTACGTTTCTCATGCGCTCCCGGCCACTGCCTGCTCTTCAATCACGTGCACTGCCACAGTGCATACATTTCCATCGACTACCTCTCTCTCGCTCGCGCGCACTGCCACAGTGCGGATAATTTCGCCCAAGCTCAAAGGAAACAACGGTTGTGCGCACCTCTGCCGGTCTGTCGACTCGGTGTTGTGGGTGGTCCGGTTGTGCCTCAGTTGAGCGATAAGTTCCTAAATGATAATACTCTCGGCGGAGCCACTCCGCATAACAACTCTACATTTCCATCGACCACCTCCCTCTCTCGCGCGCGCACTGCCACAGTGCGGATAATTTCGCCCAAGCTCAAAGGAAACAACGGTTGTACGCACCTCTGCCGGTCTGTCGACTCGGTGTTGTGGGTGGTCCGGTTGTGCTTCGGTTGAGGGATAAGTTCCTAAATGATAATACTCTCGGCGGAGCCACTCCGCGAAACTATAACTCTGTGTTTCTACTGAACACCTCGGCGGAGCCACTCCGCGACACTATAACTCGGCAACCTTGCCCTCGTTTATCGCTCTTACACTCTTACATATTAGCCCTAGCCCTTCAAAGTCCGGTCGACACGGACGGCTAGCCGCTCGGTGCCCTTGCTATACTTCATGGGAATACGCAGTAGAATTCATCGAGTCACGGAATACTCATTTCCATCTCGCAGTGATCGACGGCGTCAGCAGAGTCATAACAGGCACAGGGGCCTGGCTCGAACCAGCCTCTTTCCGGCTAGTTGGATCGTCTCGGTCTTTATCCTACTTTGTTGTATGGTTTAGTCCAATCGCGTCGATATACGGTACAATCATTAGGAGCTCAAGATAGAGAATACAGCAAAGCAAGAGAGAGGGAGAGAGAGAGAGAGAGGGGGGAGAGAGAGGGAGAGGAAGAGAGGGAGAGAGAGAAAGAGAGAAAGAGAGAAAGAGAGATAGAGAGAGAGAGAGAGAGAGAGAGAGAGAGAGAGAGAGAGAGAGAGAGAGAGAGAGAGAGAGAGAGAGAGAGAGAGAGAGATCGGATTACGAGAAAATGGTTATGGGGTGGTCCATTTCGATGTTTCCCCGCACTCGCTCACATTTGGCTAGGTATTGTTGCCTGCCCGTCAGACAAATGTCGCCCTTATCGCCCTTGTCATCACTCCTGACCTTCCTTACACTCATGCCGCTAAACTTTCAGGGTTTTATTCACGCAATACACCTCGGAGTAAAATAAACCAAATTCAAGCGCAGACCTCATGATTTACCAGACGCACCATCGCTTCGATTTTGTTCCAAAACAAAAATAACATCGCGCTATCTGTTACCCAAATCTACACACCCGCGCAGCAAACTTTCCCATCGCACAACATAATTCGCCATTTCCGACCAGCCCTGACGCAATGATTCGACAGTGATTCAATCAAAAACTGAGTCCCCGAGTCTTATCGAGCCACCCAATAAATTTACCCAATCAACCCATTCTAAATCTTAACATCTTCACGCTTTGTCCCCCCCCCCCCAAAAAAAGGGAAGCTTACATGGTTTTGTCGCTATGTGCCTAATCCTTACGCTCAGCCCGAGAAAGGTAGCTCTGAACCATCAGCCGGTTGGAGCAAATCACGGAGTGAATATATGAGGGACGGGAGCTGAATGATTGCATGTTGGCAAGGATTGAGCCGACTTCCTTTCTGTGGCAATTCTTACTTGAACGGCGTTGTTGACCAAGCCGGTCACCGAGAGGTCGATGATGATAATCACGATGATAATCAGTCCGTTGTCGATGGCTGAGAGCGTGCACTTTCCTCGATCCAGCTCTCGATCACTGTCGTACTGGATCTTCCCTCGTCAGCTGCTGCCCGTCGCGCTCCTCCCGTCGTACTCCATCCTCCGTGCACTGCCGTGTCCTCTGCGCTCCGCCCAGCCGGACTCGATGCTCCGTGCACTCCGGTGTCTTGTGCACTCCTCGGTACCTCCTCCATGACTCTTTCGTTCCTTTATACCCAGATTACTATCGCGTTGGTGTTCCAGGTGTGGTAAGCATGGCTAGATAATTTCGTCGGTGTGGCGTGATGGGCCTAGTATCTTTATCTGTATGATGATTCCATCGGTCCTGGTTATTGACTTTCTCCCAGCTGGTTGTAATTGGGCCGGGTGCTGTGTTTATCACTTTTGCTATCTTCTTGCCATCTGTCGTGCACACCTTTGTTCTGCTGGGAAGCTGAGGCACACTGTCCGGCGTCGGCGCTTTATTGCTTGGTTTGGTTGTAATCACGATATCTCGGGTATTGGTTCATATGTATGGTCAGCCATGGTCATTGAACTTCCAGCTGTTCCTGTTTTCGGCCGGACGATTGTGACATTTGCGAAGTTGTCAATTTATTGCTTTGTTTGCTGGATGCCTACTGTCCCAGCTGTCCTCCGTTACACCGGCGTGGTCTCCGACCGTCGGCGACGCTGCTCGTCCAGCGAATGCGTCCTATGGGCGCAGGTGTTTCCCAGTTCCAGCGGAGCACCTGTGCATGCTCGCCTCTTTGTCCCTGCGGGCGTCATGTTACCCGGTGTCGGCGCCTCATTGCTTGTTCTGGTCGCTATCATGATATATCGGGTATTGGCTCACCTGTAGCGTCTGCTAGTGTCGTCGAAC